ATACATATATACATACATATACACATACATATATACATACATATACACATACATATATACATATATATATATATATATATACACACACATATACACAAAAACAAAGAAAAAAACTGTAATCATATTTTGCTGGAGCGCATTGAGCATGTCCAATTATGACCTAGCCAAGCCGTTTAAAAGAGTGAATGAAAAACACAGCCAATTCTTTCAGAAAAATCATTAATACATTTCATACAATGTAGTTTTGGAGTCAATCATAGACAGTTCACTTTCTCGGGTTGGTTTCAACCTCAAAGTTGACATAAACCACAGAAAGGGGTCCACATCAGCAGAGAATCTAAAGAATTATAAAAAGCAAAAGAAAGAACATGGACTCATGTTTGTGACATATTGGGACATCATGGTCTTAAATCTGCACACATAAAATATCGAAAATGTAGGAGGAAAGTAGTTTACAATGTTTGTGTTTTAAGTGAATCTGCTCATATTCAATATTCATCAGAGTGTACCTTTTGGCAGATTTTTTACTTCATAAGTCCCCCCAACCCCCCAACAGATTTAACTCCAGGGTTGTCCCAGAAATTCATAAAAGTATTTTCTGGTCAACTCTAACCAGATACGTTGTTCCCGAAGAAAAGCATTCCCACAACATGATTCTGCCACCACCATTTTTGAGGCTGATGCATTTCATTTCTTCTACCCTACCCCATAAACTAACGAGGAGACCTCTATTAGGTTTATTCTTTATACATCATGTGCATTGTTATTCTGTTAGCCAGATTGGACAGAGTAGAAGGCTTTCCTTCACATGGTGGATGACACTGTGTGTACAGAGGCCATCTAATCAGGACAGCCTTCATGTATTTAAACATAAACAGGATATACCTGGTCTTTATTGAGAAGTATCATGGAATATCCTTCCAGTTGTTTATTATTTGGGAATCTTTTTTTTTTTTTTTTTGCCAAGTTTTATTGTGAAATTCTCAGAAACGTTAATATGAAACAGTTGAAGACACTGTAGCTCATTGCTCTGAGCCCAGACCTGGATCTCTGTCAAACGTAAAAACTGCATGAATCATTTTGTTTTTCTAAGCACCAGCATGACAAAGAGATTTAGAGAGAACATGTGGCCGATGGAGGTTTGACCCATTTGGAAAGATCTTTTTATTGTGAAACCAGACGCTGAAAAAACACTGCAGAAAAGCTTCAGTAAGGCACAAGTTAGAAAGAAATGTAAAGTCAGTCACTTCAAACTACTGCTTGATGGCTCTGCACGGATAAACCGCTGTTGTTAGCCACCTATGTATTCATCCATCCGTTCATCCTGGTTCTCCATCAAGTTGGAAGACCAAAGAATATCAAAGGACATGCTGGACGCACCTTGATCAGTTCCTGCAGACACCTTAGCTGATTCTTTGATGCAAAGAAGCAGCAGAACCAATAGCTCAGCCAATGTCTGGATAAAACTTCATTCCAGATGCTTGAATCTAGAATCTTCTTTTGCTAATGACCGACACCAGGCCAGTAAATCTGTTTTGTTTGTTTTTTGGCTCAGCTGATTCTTCAGCGACAGAGAAGTAGCAGAAAAGGCTCGAATTCAGCCGTTCCCTTTCCTGCTCCATCCCACCAGCCCTCATGGTCAAGAAAAGACTCTTAATACCCTCGGATTGACAAAGAGCATCACCCCAGACCCAGACCGAGGACAATGAATCTTTCATTCCCACTGTGTCATGCACGGCCATTTTGCCAAAGCATTTGGAAACAAATAGCCCGCACTGATGTCACTGACCTGATGCACCAGCAGCAACAACAGAGTAAAGCTGTGGCACAATCTGCTGCAGAATAAACAGCAACTTCACTCAGTTAGAGGAAAAATATTATTAATTTTCCCCTGCAGCTGAGAAAAATCAATGATAAAAATATATATATATATATATATATATGCAACTTGCATTATAGTAATTTCTATTATGAGATTTTAAAGTAATGATTTTTGTCCTTGCACTGAGCATACTGTAGTGATCATAGGGTTACAGAGAGACAAAGTGAAATGAATAAACATTGCATGAAATAAATAAATGTAGAAGTATTGTGAAATAAATACATGTACCATGAAATAAATAAATGTAGAAGTATTGTGAAATAAATACATGTACCATGAAATAATGAAATGTAAAGGGAAATTAATAAATGTACCACTAAATAATCAAATGTAATATAATTTCCCTATGATTATAATAACTGACTGATTATTGGATGTGTTTCCATTACAAATGTTTGCAAAACTATGTCGATATTCTGCTAATTTTGAAAATAAAAATCTTCGCAATTGCGGTACTTCTATTAAATAAGAAATACAATATATAATTTTAAGTGAATATATAACAGTCTATATATAATAGGCATCATCCTCCATCTACAGCTCCGTCTGCTTTGTTATTCACAAATTTCAGATTTTAGTTTTTGAAATTAAAATCATTTCAATGTGATTACCCCCCCAATTTAACTGTAAAAACATTTTATCCCAAAAAAAAACAAACTTTTTTTTCTAAGTAGCAGTCTTTCTCGTTTCTGTAACGTAAATTTGCGCAGTTTGGTGGTTAATGGAAATGCAGCTAATCTAAACTGCCCTTTTCTGTCTTCATTGAGCCAGATGGGGGTGGAAGACTTTTTTTCTGCTGAATACCCTGTACGGGTAGCTGCCAATTAAATAAAATAAAAATAATCCTCCTTGTTTCCCACATAGAGATCTTTATTTTGCTTTTCCTTCATTCTCTTGTAAAAACTGCTGATACATGTCACTTTGTGTAGCGATCAAATCCCAAATAACCTAAGAGGATCTTCATTTAGATCCATCAGCATTAGTCATCTGGGCTGCGTCATTA